CAAAGAGAAAATCTGCCTTCAAGCTCAATATTGGAAGACTTTGAATATTTTGAAAAGGACAGAAACGATCAATTTGTTCAAGAAATTTTGAAGTTTAGTTGATTAATTTATTTGTTTGAGCATCGATATTTGACTTGATCAAAGTGTTAATCGATGTGGGAGACTGGATCAAACTCAACACGTTAATAAAAATTAATATCCTAACATGTATTGGTTAGCTGGTGCCATCTTTTACAGATGACCTAATATTCATGGGACCAATTAACCGGCCGGCCGGCCTAATGCCTAATCGATTAATTGAACTAGCTATAGCTCTAACTGCAGACCAGCTTAATTTGGATTGTATTCGCAGGATCGATGATCTACCTACTCAAAATCATGCATCCTTTGAATTTTTCCCCATTGCATCACCTAATGTCCAATATTGTGGGGGCTAGAAATCACCACAGAACGGCTCAATAGTTGGAGACAAATTTCAGACTCGTATTCCACACATCAAGTCCTAGGTTCGATTCCTAGCGGTGGTAAATCTACGATGGTGGCCAGACGTAAGTTGAAATGCTGTTGTGAGTCTTTCTAATCCCTAAAAGAGTGGAGCCGTGGTGAAGTCACTAGCTAACCCCTTTTATAAAAAAAATAATGTGGAGGCTAGCACATTGTGAGTGGGGTTGTGGTGAAACCACTAACGGGTCCCTTTTATCAAAAAATTATTGTGGGGGCTAGCAAATTGTGTCTGTTCACTTATTTCGTAATATGTACAGAATGATCATACAAATTATAGAGTTTTCTGCACCAAATGAGACAATACATGCAATGGGAAATAGCATAAATTTGTTTGTCTTTATTTGGGTATGTGTGTGTATTTATATAAGGACAAATATAGCATATACAAAATGTGGAACTAATTTAGATGCCGTAGATGTTAATTAATTAAAAAAAATAGTGTTACACATAGTATAGTATTTGTTTTCTTATATTAGGAGTTAAGTTATAATACCAATTGTTGTCCTAATTAAAGAATTAATATACAATGTTTTCGGTGGTACTATAATTTAGTGATATTTTTGTTCACGTATGCAGAAGGGGTTTTAAGTTTGACTCCTGCCAATGCCAATAGTGAGTTTAGTATGATCAATTATTATGTTAATTTATTATTTAACTTAGATTATATCCTCCCGTTAATGTGAAATATCATTGTGTATAAAAAAAAGAAAAAAAATGAAGCAACAATTACCGAGTCTATGTCACGTGCTTTCAGCATAGTTTGGATATGATCGAACAGTCTATTTAACTAAGGATCTCTACTGTAATATGACCACGTAGTACTTGTTTGTATGCTTTTCCCACCATAGATTAAGTACTCAACCATGGACTGTGCTGGTTAATAATATTTGCAAAAAAGACGCTAGCAGTCTAGATCATTTATAAAAAGGTCAAAGACAAATCCTACTAAACGAGTTGTTAATCCAAAATTGTTTTGTATTATATGCATCCAAGCGAGAGCCAGTTGGGTCTAAGGCTTTATTTAATGGTTTAGATCAGTTGGTGAAAGTAGGAGTCAATTTTTAACGCAAAAACAAGATCAAATGGTGAGTTAATTCTGCTTATGTCCTTTTGTTAAAAAATAGGTATTTTTTCTTGGAGAAATTTTTGTGTGTGTGTTTGGAATATTGTCCCGTAATGTTATTATTTTATTATTTTTTAACACAGGTGGATGATATATTGTTGATATGTGTCACTTCCGTGATATATAAAAAAATTAACGTATTATAACTTAAGTTAAGTAAAGAAAAATTATAATTTAAGCCAAATACACTTAAACATTACTTGTCTTCTAGAGCATAAGTTCTTACCCTTAATTTTGATTAAGACTAATGTTATGTGGGTTTTAGGAATCTACAGCATATTGGGTGCCTCATAGTACTCAACCCATAAAGAAGATTTGTGTTGCTAAGTGCCACCAAAAACCCAGTTAATTAACCGTTAAACACCCATGTACAATTAACCAAGTTTAACTACTTATAGTCTAATAATAAATTGTATTTTAAAAGTGTATTTTGGTGTTTTAGTGGTGCAGTTAGCATGAACTGGGAAACTCCAATCCTATATTGTGATAAAATATGTACTTTTAGGATTACAGCTTACTAAAATATCAACTCAAAATGTTTACTTTGTTTGTTCTAAAGCTTTTATGCGCTCCACTAATATTTCTTGGTCCTGGTACCACAAATACTCGATCGTGATATGTTACCACATGATAGATGTCCTTTTGCCTTTGCTGATTAAATTTTATAGTTTGAAAAAAAAAATTAAAAGAGACCGAAATATATTTGATAGAAAATATTTCTCGTCAAAGTTTCAATAAAGTTGAACCTAGATAGCTAGAACACAGTAACCTAAAATTCAGTAGATTCCTGTGTATGATCAAAGGATAGACAATGTTCTAAAAGACGTTAGGTGCTAGTCAGACTGCGGGTTGGAGCCTAACACCTAGGTGGACTGACGTATTTAAGTAAATTTATTGTATTTCGTGTAAATAAGTATCTATTTATACTTAATATATATATATATATATATAATTTCGTCATAAACTAGAAAATAGAATGACATATATATTATGAAGTATTGGAACATAATGAAAACATGAGGAGCAAACATATAATGTGTGTTTATTTAAGTGTTCAATAAATCTCTTACAATTTATTGGAAACAATAAAATACAAAATGAAAGTTACCTATTTTCTATCTTAGTGAATAGTGAGTCGCAACCTAGGCAGGTGTTTACACGGGTTTGGGTGGGCTAGGCGGTCTAGGCGCCCTTTCTTAATTTTCAAACACCTAGGCATTAATCGGGACGGTGGCCAGCCTTGCCTATGCAGCGCTAGGCGGAAAATTTTAGAACAATGAGGATAGACATCTTAATTGAGGCTATGCTGTGAATCTCCTCCCTTAATTTGAAAGCCCTACAAGTATACACTAGTCTTGGGGGACAGGGAATGCATGGAAAAAGCTAGCAAACTTCTTATTCTAGTTTCCTAGTTATTCTTCTCATTTTGCAATGCTTTGTGATGTACGATCACAAACGTTTATTTTTTAGGTCACGTTTTAGAGATTATATATGTAAAAAACAATTAAAATCGTTATGTCACCTAATAGTTATCCAATAAATAAATGAACCATATTTTTTAATTAGAAAAGTAATATCTACACAATCATTTTTCTCTCCCTTCACACTCTTTTCCTATTTGTTTAATAGACTGAAGAAATAAAAAAAGATTGTAGAGACATAATTAATAAATATAGTGTGCAATAAGAAGAAAAAAGTGCGTACTATTATTTCCCTTCATTTATACATTACAGTTTTGACAAATTAATTGAACGATCAAACGATTTTTAATTTTGTTGATTGAAGAGTTTATCTATAATTAGTGAACTAAAGATTAAACGGTTCGGATTATCTTACAACACTATAAAATGAACAGAAAATCTAAAAAAGTAGTACTAAAATGTGTGAGCAAAAAGCTTCCCAGCACCCCATATTTCATATAATTCCACAAACAATGAGAGAGCTACACATATTACAGTGATTGTGTCACAGTGTGGAGTGGTGATGTAGCAATTGGTTGTTTGTATTGGATCACATTGATTCTTTGTACAAGCCTATGCATGCATGACAGCGGCTGCCATATGTGCAGGGCTCTCTCAAAGTTCTTAGGCTTTTGTGGTCTCAACTTTGTAAGAATCTCTGTATTGATCATAAGCCTTTTGCTTCGTCTTCTCTCTCACTGGATTGTACTACATCGATCCGACCATATTATTACCAAATGACAATGCCTTTCGGCCTCTCACAGTCACAGGCTCACAGGTTCTTCAAGCTTCCATAAAGCTAGCTGGCAGAGTAGCACGTGCAAACCACACTTTATTACCTAATGCAAAACATCATAATTAGCTCGGTAGTTTGTTTCTTCCACGGGTAATGGAGGAGAATGTTAATTTACCCCGTCCCCAGTTTTATATGATTATATGTTTATAGTTCTCATCTCAAAATTAGTCACGAAAATAACGTTACTTATATGAATCTTCACAAAAATAACAAAGCTTACCTAGTTACATACATGAATTACAGACAATGTAAAACAGTACAGCGTGTGTAGTAGTATGTGGTGGGAGAATCATTTTGTCTTTGTACACTTATCCTATATTTTCAACATGTCAGAACTCAATTCCATCTTTAAAAAACAAAAGAAGAACTAGTAACAAAGTATTATGAAATTAATAGATGATAGTTTATTCTAAATTAATTTAAAGATAAGCGAAAAATATTCGAACTTACATGCATAAAAGAAAGCATGTACACTATTTTATTCAATTTGGCTAAACACAAGCTGCTATAAATTGATGACGTTTAGTATCGTTTTTCTGATTTCATAATTAAATAATCCATATTCCATAATGTTTGTCATCATTTGCAATTTTTCACGAGTGGATCATTCTGTTGATTTTAATGGTATTATTTATGCTTCCAAATCAGCAAGATTTGACATTAAAATATCATTTTTAATCCATTCATTACGTGACATGTTTATATATGTCTGAACTGTATGTGTCTTTGTTAAATGCATATACACACGGATAAAGTATCTTCTAACCAAGATCACTTGATGTGCAGCTAGCATGCTAAGTTAAGTTCCCTCTCCTGCAATAATTAGTCCAACTTTATTTCACGTGTAGTGTGCTGTGGATTTAGAGTAACTTTTTTGATGTATTCGGAATATCGTTACGTGGTGTTATTTTAGATAAATTATAACACATGTATGTTTTGTTAGTTAATATATTCTAAAAGTAAGCTATATTAATTCTATTTTTCACCACTATTATAACACGTGAAATAATAATATTACGTGACTATATTCTCAAACACACAAAAATTTCTTGTGGATTTGGTTCATCATGAAGCCCTTTAAAAGCTCAGTTTCCCCAACCTTAAATAACTCACGAGTTGCATTTAAAAGCCAAAGTACTAACTACCAAGAGACACAGAGTGAGAGAGAGAGAGAGAGAGAGAGAGAGAGAGAGAGAGAGAGAGCTGGCACAGAGCAAATGGCTCTGGAAGCCGTCGTTTTCCCTCAAGATCCATTTAGTTGCACTAACAAAGACCTCTACAACTTGTTAGGAGGAAATTTGAGCTATGTCGATGATCAGCAGCAAGCCTCTCTTGATTTTCTCGGCTACCAAACAGACCAGAATTACCCTAACTATGATACTTATTCCTCACCGCCTTCAATGGTATCGCACTTCAACGAATTGCACCTCTCCAATCCAAACCCAGTTGCCAGCACTATAAACCCTGATGGTGATCAACCCGAATTTCAACTACCATTGGAGGACACAATCAACGTATCTAGCAGTACTCGTGCGAAACGACGTCGTGCCAAGAGTAAAAAGAACGAGGAGGAGATTGAGAACCAGAGAATGACTCACATTGCGGTTGAGCGCAACAGAAGAAAACAGATGAATGAGTATCTCTCCGTTCTTCGATCTATAATGCCCGAGTCGTACGTCCAAAGGGTACTAATTATATATACATTCCTACTACTACTTTGTTAATTAATTTCACTGTTTTTTTTAGATAAAGTTAGAAATTGTTTGATAACAATTTCGTTTTTTATTTTAGTTTTTTCTTCTTCATTATTTCTGAAAATGAAATTTATTTGATAATTATTTTCAGCTAAAAACTAAAAAAGTTATTACACGCCACTTAATATATTGGACAGACCAAAATATGTGACCTTTTGGTTGTATTATTAGGGTGATCAAGCATCAATCATTGGGGGTGCGATTAACTTTGTGAAGGAGCTAGAGCAAGAAGTGCAATTCCTTGGCGTTCAAAAGCCAAATAATTGTGCGCCTTTTTCCGAATTCTTTACCTTCCCACAGTACTCAACAAGGTCTACTAGTGATCATGAGTCAACGGTGGCCGCCATGGCGGAGCTGCCGCTGCTCGAGTGCAGGTCGAGCAATATCGCAGCTGACATAGAAGTGACAATGGTGGAGAGCCATGCAAGCCTCAAAGTAAGATCCAAAAGGCTCCCAAAGCAGCTCTTGAAAATTGTTTCTGGGTTGCATGATATGCACCTCACCGTTCTCCATCTCAATGTTGTCACCGCTGATGATATTGTGCTCTATTCTCTCAGCCTCAAGGTAATTGGAAAATCAATTCAAAATTTAATTTAGCGAAAACAAAATAATTAGAAGTTAAGATGAAGGAATTTGTATATGTTTTTGTGATGAATCCTTAAAAATTAAGCAGGTTGAAGATGAGTGCATGCTGACTTCAGTGGATGAAATTGCAACCGCAGTCCATGAGATGCTAGCTAGGATTCAAGAAGAAGCAATGCTGGACTTGAACTGATCATCAAAACCTCGCTTTTAATTATCAATTGCCTTTTTTTCTTTCTAAATTTAATTATACCCTATGATGTGATAGACTCATACTTGGGTGTTTCTTCTCTGGTTGTAGACTGCTACCAAGTCATTCGGTTAATGTTTTCCTTAATTCCAGTTTAAGAAACTCTTTTCTTTAGATATAATAGACTAAGAGTGAGTCTTCTCTCTCATTTCATCTTTTCTCTTTTGTCAGTTTTTCTTTTTAAATTTTTAGAACATCAATCCTCGCAACTTTTTAGGTCATAAATTGTTAAAGAATGTTGACGATTAAAAATAAATTGTGTACAGAACTTGGAAAAATGGTGATTATTGTCGAACTTGCGTACTTAACCCATTGTTCTCCAAATCAGTGAGATTGTTTGATCTAGCTATTTATTTTTGGAACTTATGTGGATGGATGAATTAATCACATCTAATTGAAAAATGACACGTAGACGGTAGGAAGCTGATTTTTTGGAGTCTCCTCTTGGGTCTCCGGCCTTATTCTGCAGTTATCAACCAGGGAGTTTTTAGACTACTCACGAGCTATGCAGAGACTGATCTTCGGCACACTAGCAAAATATAGTATGTTTGTGGCCTCCATTCCTAGCTGCCTACGAGTGTTCAGGTATATAAATAGTCAAGTTCAACAGGAAAATAGCTAATCACCACTTAAAGCACCTCCAATGCTAGTCCTTAAAGTTGTCTTCACCACCGTATTAACCCTATAAATGAGAAATAAAGAGGTTGAGTCCATAAAGTATAGAGACAGACCATATACAAGATTCGAGTCCCCACATATAAGGACAATATCGGGAGCAAAGTGCCGGTGCCAGTGGGGTATTTTGAGTGGAAAACTTGGCCCACCCACGTGCAGATTCCTCGCTGTTGTGCTGCTGCATGCATGGTCCCACTGATTTTTCTTTTGTTTATGAAGAAAATCAAGAAAAATCAACGATCTTGATAACTTTTTGGTTTTTTTTTTTAATACTGTTTAGATTGACGGCTACAAAAGTAACAATGAGTTTTTGATCTTTTATTCCCCAAATTTAAGGACTATACTATAAGGACACTCTTATTGGAATTAATAATCTTTTAGGGATAAGTATATTCCTTTTGAGTCTCTAAATGGTGGTGGGGGAGTCTCTAAATAGGGATTCCCATTGAATATGCTCTTACTGACTCAAAGTTCTCTATGTATTAGTTTCTCTCAAACTATCTCTTTGTCTTAGGCATCAGAAGCCATTTGTCAGATATCCTCCTCTTTTTCTCTAGTTTGTCAATTAGGCTACTGATATTTATTATTTTGTAGGTGGCGTTTCGTCCACTCAACCTTGGACGAAATTTGCATCCACCTCATATTAGTGGGGTTATTGTACTATATGTCTCTTTGTATTTCAATAAGATTTCATAGTTTTTCCTATAAAAAATTTGTGTACCCATTGTTTTCTTTTTGGATAGTGCTATTCACACACTTATTTTTATCTCTCACACAGCCTTGTCAATTTTTGGCCATTGATGTTCTTCAATTCATCCGATTCAATGGCCGAAAATTGAGAAGGGTATATGAGAAGTAAAAATATGTGTAGCAGTACTACCTTTCTTTTTTTGGTCAATTTGCTTCATATTGTTTGGGTAGAGGGAAAAGTGAAGTAAACCTCAAGAAAGATACATGCTTTCTTGTTGCTAATTCACCACATGATAAATATCTATTAAATGAAGGGAAAACTAATGAAAATGACTTGAAAATTTTGAATTTTAACGATAAGGATAAAATAAAGAGTAAAATGAATAGTACCAGGATTGAATTTTTAGTGTAAAAATGTGGTTTTTTTGTTAAAGTGAACTTTGAGCTTTTCATTAAAGTTCCTTTCAATGAATGATTTATTTTTTAGGACGTGATAAGTATCTATTGGACTGATGACACCACTAAATCTATGTCTTAATTGCAAGAGAATCCCTCCTTCCAAAAAATTGATGTCCCTCGAAAAATAATCGTCCAAAAGGTTTTGTTAACCAAGCCCAGGAAGCAAAAATGAAGAAAAGGAGCCATATTCGAATGATGACTCTGATAGAACCATATTTTCGTACTTTACAAATAAAACCATTTATGCAGTTTCAGAACTACTAATCTTGCATATATTGAATTATGACGAGTCCCAAAGAGTACACAAAATAGTTGAGGTTTGGGTTAGCCCAAGTGATCAGGAAGAATGAAATTATGAGTTAGGTTTAGAAAAGGTGCATGGTTTAATTTAGTGTGATCGAAAAAGAAAAGTATAGGCAATTTGCAAACCGTGAGGTTCACAGGCTCACTTGGAGTCTCCAAGTGATGGCAACGGTTATGGCGGGTGGGTAACTGTGGTTATTTATCCATAACCGTTTATTCTCATACCCGCATAACTGTTTACCGTTGGATAATTATCTAAACGGTTATACTCATACCCATAACCGTTTATAAACGGTTAACCATACTTATAACCGTGTACCCATTTAACCGTAACCATTTGGTACCCGTTTACCCATTTATCATTTTTAAATCCGTTTGTCCTTTCTTTTTTACCATTTACTCATTTTTCACCTGTCTACGTGTTTTTTTAACAACTTGAAAATTAAAAAAGAAAAATTTGCATAATTTTGTTTTTCTAACAATTAAACACCATTATAGGTACATTCATCATACATTTCCGCATTTTAATTTTTTAAGTCCGTATACCATTCCAATAATTGAAATAATAGTTTACAGACGATATTTTTAACTGTTAGCAATGAAGGTAATATAAAATTTGCTAAGTATTCTTGGGTTATGAAAACTGTTAAAAAACAGTATTTTTGGGTTATTTGACTCGGAATGTAAAATATTAACATAATATATATAATGGACCATGAAATTTAAAGTGGTTAAGGAAAATTATATTATATTAGCTAATCATGCACTATAGTCAATAGCATTGATATAAGTTTTGTCTGATAGGGAACATGATTTATGTTAATTTTACATATATAAAATAAATGGGTAAATGGTTACCCATTTATAACCGTGGTTAATACCCATAACCGCCCATTTAAATTTCGCGGGTAAACGATTATACCCATAACCGTTTATTTATCTAAACGGTTACCCATAACCGTAACCGTGAAATTTAAATGGACGGGTAACCGCGGTTATCCATAACCGATGGGTATTTGCCCATCCCTACTTGGAGAGCGTTGTTTAGAGTTGGTATGGACAGTGACTTGTCTTGCAATATTGCTAGGTTTCCGTTACTGAGCAGTTTATGTAATGTTTTTTAAAAATTATTATCTTGTGGTAACATGAGCTAACTATGACTCTTGCATATACGTCACTCGAATGAACTAAGTGAGTCCTAAACAAGTACACAAGATAGTTAAGCCTTGGGTTAGCTTAGGTGATGAGGAAGGATAGGTAATCAGTTATGATTAAGAAAGTTACAAAGTCCAATTAATTTGCAATAATTCCTCAGCGGATTTCTAACATAATTAATAACATGTTCATAAATTTCAGAGAGGGATGTTGATCCTTTTTTCTGTCATTGTACACTTGACAAATAACCAAATCCTCAAGTCTAGCAGGAAGTAAATCATTCATGCCATTGCAGACATCAAATACTGACATAATTAAGAAACATCCACATTAAAATTCAAATATCATATTGAGATGGAAAGATCGACATTAAAGTTTTAGTTGTTGGGAAGAGCCACTTCTTTTTCATTCTTCACGATTCCCTTCTGAACCATGAGCTTCTTTCTCCAGCTTCCTTCATTTAAAATTGACAACCACAAATTACTCAAAAATAAATAAATAAAATCGACTTCTCCATAATCTTTCGAATCCTGGTGAATCCAAAAGCGGCCGCCATCAAACTCTGGTGCTTTATTTCTTCATGGTGTTTGATGGAATCATGGTGTTGAGAATGAGTCTCACATTGATGGGAGGAGGGACCTTGCATGAGCTTACGAGAGGTTGAGTTACTCCCCATATTGCCAATTGGTTTTATGGTAGAACCTCAACTTTCTTTATGGTATTAGAGCAGGTTGTCCCACGTGTGAAGCCAAACGGCCATACGCGCTCCATGTTACCCCGTTGTGTTGTCCACGTGTTAGGCTTGAAAATTCGCCATACGTGAGGGGCGTGCTGTGAATAAGTCCTACATTGATGGGAGGAGAGGCCTTGAATGACCTTATAAGAGGTTGAGTTACTCTCCATATTGCCAATTGATTTTAGGATACAATCTCAACTTTCTTCACATGATGATGTGTTTGATGGAATCATAGTCCGGTTTGAATCGGACTTGGCTGGCTACAACCCAGACGGACGAGAAAGAGACAAAGGGCACTGTCACGCATAAGTGCGTTGTTCCAGTACCTAAGAACCCCTCAACGAATTTGAAGATGTTCCTGGACATTTTTTCCGGCGGTTTGGTGGTTTTTCTAATGAACATTCTACTTATGGCGTAAAGATAAGGGAAGAATGCATAAACAATACACCCTAAGCATATACTTTTTCGGGTCGACCTAATAATTCATTGAAATTTCACCAAACAAAATATTCCAACAAGGAAGAAAGTAAAATAGACAATGAAAACACCAGTCAAGGAGAAAAACATGTTCCCCATGTAAAACGATACAAAAGAGTTGTCCAGCTAAAAGAAAAATAGACGTGAAAACAAAAACATGATTATTGTCTGTCATCAGCCACTATCCCTTGTCAAGACTACGATTGGAAATCAAAAACAAATATCATATGTCAGTAAGTCATATAGATTAATAAAATTCACCATCCAATTTATAAAGAAATAAGCGAAAAGAAAGCTTCGAACAACGTAGCATCTTACACAAAATGAATGAAAGTAGCCATATTCGGATATACATCATAAAAGTTCAAATATAAGATCCGAGTTCAACTTGTTTCTGCAAACTTGTTTTCTAACCAAAGGGTGAACATCTTCCTGGATATCATATGTATGGATACTACTTTTCCATAAATCCATTAATTCATTAAACAACAGCGCAAATAAACCTTCCTCAATCTTCGGTAATTAGTAGAGTCATCATCATATAATCTTTTCTCATTCACTTTCAAAGCGGCAAATTATAAGGAACTACGACGATCGATCAAGTGTTGTGAGTTTAGTTTAGAATCCTGAACGGAGTAATCCGTCGATAGTAAACCTTAATTTGACGTTGTGTGGGTCAGCTACAAAAACTGGAGTACATCCGATCGAATTTTTTTAACGCCTTCCCTTTTACAAGATGCCTCGTAACGATAACGTCATTATTAACCCGTCCTTCCTTATACC